TTCCCACACGTTCCAATCCACAAAATGAAGCAATAGTTTTCTCATGGTCTCCCACAGAGAGAAAGAAAATAACGAAAGGCATTTCTGTTTAACCCTATTCTTTTTTATCGAAACCTAAAGACATATAGCTTCACACTGCCAACTCTTCTACATCTTCCAAATTTATGTACACGGGTGTCTTTCTAGGATCAATTCGAGGAATGGGACTGTTGGTAAGCACAGTGAAAGGAATGCTCTCCACGTGATTGGGGACGATGGACGTCTCTGTGGCTTGGGAAATTTTGTCTCGGGTTTGATTGTGGCACAGAGGGGTATTACGTAAGGCAAAAATGCGATTGAAGGCGGCACGGAGAATTCGCCGTGATTTGCTGAAACCTCCAATTACTACACCTGCTTTTGCTAAAGCGAAGATGGGGAGAAGAAACCGGAGAGCAGTTTCAAGGTCCTGAAGATGAGGTAGAAGGCCATTATAGGTCTGTTGAAAGGCAGTTACTTTAGCGATTGCAGTCGTTGTTTTGCCATCGCCAAGTTGTTGGTCATCCTCGCGGTGGAAAACGAGTCCGATACGATTAAGGTGTCTTTCTGGGGGAGGAGAAATAAATGCCCTCTTTTTTATGCTCTGCTTCAATAGCTCTATTGCTTCCTTTCTACAAGAAGGAAAAACCGCAAGGAATTTGACAAACTCATTTTTACCACTCCCTTCTCGTCGTGGCGTTAGACGAGGTGCAAAAGTGAAATTCTCCTTTCTTTAATGCTCTTCTGGGCAGGGATCCACAATCAAGGTTGATTTGCTTACCAAATGTTGGTCTCGTTTACTTTATTTTTCTCCCCAGCCAAGGAGGCTGACAGGGTGGAAATAGATCGTGTGTTTACAGTCAAACGTCCTTCATTACATAACCTTATCACAGGGAAAAAAAAGCGCAAGGAGTAGAGTTGATATCAAACATTGCGAGTTACTATCTTTTAGCATAACTTTTTTCCCTTTGTTTAAAAAAAATAGACTGTTAAATAAATGAACTTTTAGAGGGCGACGTCACTTTATTGGTCATTGGGGCTAGAGTGTGAGAGCTGTAGAGATTCTTGAGTGTTTCTTTCTTTTACTTCCCCAATTTTGCCTTTTTGTCTCACGAGTTTTTTTCCAAGGTGGCTGCCAACACAGAGGCACAACAGCAAATAAATTACTCAAAAAAATGGGGAATTCGGGATCCTGTCCAGGAAAGGGAAGGAAATGGTGCATGAGTGTGTGTGTGTCTGTGCGGTTCTAATTTCTTTTATTTAAT